TTTTCAACTCAAACATCAAGATTTTCAAATCTTGCAACTGAGATATTACAATATAAAATATCATCAAGATCAAAATATAAATTTGATGGTTAAGTCATTATTTTCAAATACAAATTATATATAATTTTAAAATTTAAAATTTGATTAATTCATTTGACATTTATAATTCAAATAAAAATTAAAATTAAATATAGATCATTAAAATATCATTTGAAATTAAGAAATTTGGATCACTGTGAGTAAAATATTATGAGTATGCTTTTCAAAAAAAAAATTTATAAAGAGATGCCCAATAGCCAAGATATATGAAGAGTGGAAGAAAAATTATTTTGTGTTGATGTGAAGAACCATGTCAATGTATATATTCATCTTCATTCAATTTTAATATACCTGTAGAGTTGTAAAATAATTAACAATTATATGATTTACAATAAATATTTTAAAAATTAAAATTTAAATTCTATGAAACCATAACTTCACAAAAATAGAGTACAATTAGTTTTTTCAATTCTATTGGTTATGAAAGAGAGATTTAGAATGATGGAGGAAAATTCAATTGAAAAAAATTACAAAATGCATGATTATGTGCAATTAGCTAGTATCTACCATGAATATGAGATCTATCAAAAATTAAATTGCTCTTTTGATGTCTACAAGAACATAACAACCTCATTGTGATATTGACTAGGAATGAAAAATCATCATGAAAGATAACACAAGGGGTGAGAGGGCATTGGTGATGAAAGGAGGAGCTGGAGAGAATGAGAGTTTTGTGATTTTACTTGCCTTGATGAGGAAATGGAGCAATTGAATGATACAAGGATTGAAAGAAAATCTCGTATGCTTTATAATAGCTCAATGTGATTGTGTATGTGTGTAATTAGAATTTTAAAACTAAAAATAAGAAAAAAATTATGGGAAGTTATGATGATAGGAGAGTGGGAGAGAAATGAGAGAAAATAGGAATTAAAATAACTTATTTGATTTTAAATATAATATTTTTTTAATATTTAAGAAGATTTGATAGAAAATCTAACGTGCATGCTGAAATTGTGTATTTTAGATGGTGGAGAAGTTGCAAAGTTATGATAATGGATAAAATCATGGGAGAAAAAATTTAGGAATAAAAGGAAGTGGTTTCTATAATTTAAAGATAATATTGTTATCATTCATAAAAATTTTTTGGTATTATGTACAAAAAATTATTTTTAAAAGTTAATGTTGACATGGATAACTTATAATCACAAAATTTTAAAGAATGCATACATGTCGAATCTAGAAGGCAACCTACGATTTTAGTTTTGCATATAGATATGTAGATTTACTTAATTTAAAATATTATTATATAATTTATCATAATAAATAATATATTATTTATCATTCTTATTTTTATCCTGCCATGATCTATTAGTTTTTAAAATTAAATGTTTAATAATAAGAATAAGATTATGGGGAGTTAAAATGCAAAGAGAGTGAGAGAGATAATGAGAGAGGAATGAGAAAAAAATTAATTAAAATAAATTAGTTTTTAAAATAGAAAATTAAAATTACAAAAATAAGTTAATAGAATTAAATGAAGTTGGGGTGGCAGTTTGTATTTGCAGCATTTAAAAAAAAAAAAAAAGGACGCATGTTGAGCTTGAAAGACGACTTGTGGTTTTACTTTTATACATAGATAGATAGATTGCGACCTTATAGTACCTTGGAGATACTTTTGGGATATTAATTTGAATTATAAATTAAAATAGTATGCTAATTTACAAATTTTCTATCAAAATTTATAAATTCTCATTCAAAAATTTGCAAATCAACTAGTGTATTTAGGATTTATAATAGTAAATATATTTTTATGCTAGTTGAGTTGTAAATTAAATTAGGACTATAATTTACAAGTCTTGCTCATAAATGTACAATTGCTCCTCCAAAAATTTACAAACAAACTATTATTGACATAAAAATAATATTTTTTTAAATTAATTCCTGACCTTGCTATTACTTAATGATTAATGATAGTGATCCAATGATCAGTCGATAAATATAACCAATCAAATTAATTAAAATGTTTGGTTAAAATAAAATTTTGGCCTTTTATATGTATGAAAAATGCAGACGATCTCTTAACATTTATTTATAATTCTGAAAACTTAATCAATATTAATTTTATCACATGAGAATTTATTTATAATTTTTAGAAATCTTATTTATAATTTTCTTGTTCATCATAATGATCAAAATCATGCAAGTTTGACAGATGGACAACATTACTCCAGATCTATCTCTTAGATTTAAAGGGTGATATTGTATCACCTTGCTCTCCAAGGTAACCAATACGTCGTTAAAAAAGAAATTGAAAGGTAAATTTACACTTTAACCATGCATAATTTCAAAAGTAATGATTAAACTCTTTCCAAGCCCATGCTAACTTTATGACTGTATGTCAACAAGCTGCGATAAGTTTTCCTTTTTTTTGTCAAATCTAGTTGAATAAAGATAAAATATAAACATTCTTACAAGCATTATAATCCGTAACTCATGAATATTATATCTTATTTCTCACGGTTCAATTGGATATAGTTAATATAAAATGATGATTCAAAGTAGATAGGTGCAAATTGTCCTTTGAATAATACGTTAGAAGTGTCATAACAGGAGCTTTCTTTGGATCAAACTTGAGAAGATTGTGCTTCAAGAGTGTTTGTTCTGGGCTCAAAAAGCCAAAAAAGATTGGAATCTCCAGGGTGATAAAAATACTTCTTTCTACCACAGGGTTGCAAATGGGAGATGTAAACGTAACCGTGTGGAGGCCACTAAGAATGATAATGGAGAATGGGGTGTATGATCTTGATTCTATTAAATCCATGGCAACTAATTTCTTCTCTTCCTTATTTCACGAGGACATCGTTACCTGAGACGATTTAATCTGCTCCCGAACTTATCCTAGTAGTGAGGTAGGCACCCTGAGAAAGTTTGGTCAGGTGGTGATGGATTTGGAGATCAAAGAAGCTTTGTTTGATATCGGCGCTCTTAAAGCCCTTGGGCCAAACGGATTGAATGCCTTATTCTTTCGAAGCCAATGGGAACACATTGGGCAATCAGTTATTCGCATGGTAAAACATCTGTTCAGGAGTCCCTATGATATCGTGTTTATTAATAGCACTCTAATCATGGTGATTTCTAAAAAGGATCACTTTGAGATCTTGAAAGATTTGAGACCAACCACTCTTTATAATGTCATTTATAAGTTCGTGATGAAGATCATTACAAAGAGAATAAATATTTTTATTTCCTTGATTATTAGTCCTAATCAATATAGCATTATTTTTGGCCTACAAAGCTCGGATAATATTTTGCATCGATTAATAGAGAATAGAGACGGTAATATTTTCATAAACAAGAATTGTGGCTAATAGTGATCAGAAAGTGAATGAGTTTTATTTGAGGGTATATTAAAATTAAATGACTCAAGAATGGTTCAAAGTCTGGTGTCTTTTTCAATCTTTTGATAGATTTTAATATTCCAATTCCACCTACTCCGACCCAGAGACCCTAAAAGTTAGCAGCAATGAAAATATTGGTCTTCCGGGAAAGTTCGCTGTTATGATAACAGAAAAGAACATGGAATTAAATCATAAACCAATTATATGGTAGTGATGAAATCCGAGCTGGCAATTGAGACAGAAAATGATGACTGAAGCCGTGCACTGTTTAGGTCAATTAATAGGACAAACTTGGAACAAATTATTTGACTTCAAAAAAATATTTTCATCAAACAGCGAGATTAGGTCTCGAACGTGATTTCCTTTTTAATTAGGGAAGCTTTCAGACAAGTGAGGTTGTACCACAATTACTCAAAATCATTAATCCATGAATACTATTTTATGTCATCTCTTAAATATATTATATGGAGTATCATCCAAAGTGGTTGTGGCTTTGAGAATTCACCAATCCAAGGACGCACCTACTAGAAATGTGCGAGATTGAGGCTGATCGACGAGAGCCACGTGATGGACTAACATCCCACGCACAACCAAATGGTCGCAACAAATGTACCACAGCTGTTTGGTGGCACATTTTGCTATTCTATGTCAATGTTTAATTATTCATTTGACTGATAAAATTGACAGGATCAAGGATGATAAATAAATTGGAATACTTAATTAATTAATTTTTTTAATTAACAATTAGTGCTTATTTTAGCGTCACAATAATTAATTCATGTCTGTATCAATACTAAAATTATTACTTTCTCCTTTAGTCCTATTTATAAGATTGAGAGAGTATTTGTTTTGGTCCTATTTATATAATATTTCTTTAGTTCTATTTATAAGATTGAGAGAGCATTTGTTTTGGTCCTATTTATATAATATCTCAATAATTATTATATCTATATTTACTTTTTTGCTCTTATTAAATATTGGAAAGGTTATTAAATGCCAAAGTATTTGATTTTTAAGGTATGTATATTTAATAGGGACAAAGTCAAAAACTTATTAATTTTTTAAACATAAATAATGAGATTTAGAATTTCTTGATTCTTACAAAAAATAATGGGAGTGATTTATAAATAAGGCAAAATATTATTCTAGTGGACATCAATTCCAAACATCCGTCTCAAAGTTTTCAAGTGACATACACGGTTGTACAAAATTTATGGTAGAAAATGATTCATTCAAACAACAAAAAATTAAAACTGAAAAGAAACAAGCAAAATCAATAGCGAACTTTTACGTGTCTGTAATCCAAGGTTACGACTTTAAATGATTGAATCTTTTAGATTAAATGCCATCATTTCATGATTATAAAATTGGTATAAAATTATTAAAAAATAAAAATAAATTGAGAGAAAAAGTGAAACTCGTAAACATGATGCAATTGCATGATAATTTATTTTAAACATATTTTAGTGGACATCAAACACAAACATCTGTCTAAGTGACATAACAGGATTGTGCAAGTTTACAGCAAAAAAAGATTGATTCAAACGACAAAAGATGAAAAGAAACAAGCAAAACCAATAGAGCAATTTGTCTGTGATTTTAATTAAAGGACAGCCCGAAAGCCAATTCAAGGTAATGTTTGTCTGGGCAATGTTTGCCTTGAGGTTAGGTAGCCCCGAACTGATCACTTCCCATAATGAGATATACAGTCATCGCATATCACCTTCTCTAAATGCTCCAATTTCATGGCCGAGTCTGGCAATTCATGTATTGAGCAACCTGTCATGTAAAGCTTTCTCAGATTCTGCAGCTCCCCAATTTTGTCTGGTATTCTCCTCAAGCTTAATTACGCAGTGTGAGATGCCTAGAATTCTTAGATGACTCAGCTGCGTGATTGACTCTGGCAAATTTTCAAAGTCAGCACAGTAACTAATCTGCAGTAATTCCAGATTCTCAACTTGGGGTAGTCCAATAAATTTGTGGCAACTAATGATGCCAAGTTTCTTCAGGTTGACAACAAAGCAGAGCCCAGAAGGCAACCCAACCAAATCATTGCAATACTCGATGTTCACGTCTTCCAGTTTTGGCAATGCTGATGGGAATTCGATGGAACTATCCTCAAAAGCCTTCTTTACTTGACAAATGTAAAATGACAACTTGGTCACATTCTTCAAGTCGCAAAGGGACGGAATAGAAACATGCTGCAATTGGATTCTTTTGAGGCTCCTTAAATAAGCAAGTAACTTGAGATTTCTTAACTTGGTGAAACAGAAAGCATAACCAGTGAGTATACGAACTTTCAGGTTTCCCATTGCCTTTGTGAATTTCGGTAACGTGTAATCTGAAGTCTTGAAAATATTCAAAACTAAAACCACAGGTTCAGTTGGTTGAATATTGTCGCACCAATTTGGAGTGGCGTTTTGATCTGCAATGCAGATAATAATACATGAAATTAACTGAATAATGAGAAATTATAAGTGGGAAGTCAAAAGAGAGAAAATTAAACAGACCAGTCGATATAGATAATACACGAGCAGCTGTCCTTTGCCGTGTTGATCCTACGAGGAGTGATAGAAAAGGAACAGAACTAGCTCTGAGTCACTCCCAAGAATTAGCCTTTTCCTCTCTAATACTGCGCCCTCCCTTGAATATTTGTTGGCCAACTCTGAGAAGTTTATGCTGGGTTAGGATGTGGTTATTGTGGCTATTGTCTTCATCACTTCCAATTCGCCTGGTTAAGTGGCAATATCATGTACGAACTCAAGAAATGGGATACATACATAAGAGACAAAGTTCATTTGCTGAGCTGGCAGAAGTATGTTTACCTTTGAACCACCTTATCAACCAAATTCATGTGTGCCAATTGGCGGATGTGGCTCATCACTTCTATTCCATCATCATCATCCTGGTAAAGCTCTGCCCACATGTCGCTTAAGGCAGTAACAGGGATAACTTGATTTTTAGGGAATGAGCCAAGGTCCATGAAGAATTCTCTAACGGCTTCAAAATCCTTCAAAACACTTAATGTAATGAGTTATGTGTTGGAATATTTATTTATTTATTTATTTATGGATTAACATTAATTAATAAGCCCAAATAGATTGATCTTTATGATCTTGTGTGGACCGTGATAGGAGGACCACACAAGTGAGTCCAATGGGCAGAGGCCCAACTTACAACCCAATAACCGTTAGTTATTCCCTATTTTTTAACTGACTAAGTTAAAGATAATGAAATATATAATTATTTATTATTTAATAAGGTGGTTACCGATCTAATTTATATAAGACGATTAGTCGATAACCGCAAGATACACGACTCATTTTCTTCTGCTCTATTATCTCTGAACTCTCTGAAGGCTCTGGGGACCTGTGGGTTGTGTACCTGTCTACATTCGAGGTAATCGAGATTTCTCAAGTACTCATAGATTCTTCAGGTATGCATACATCACTTTACTTGTTTACATGAATTGAGATATAAAGATCTAACATTATGGAGATAAGTAAGCGCCCCTGAAGGAGAATAGTCTGCGCTCTGTGACGATTCTTTTGACTTCTTTCTCCATATATCAGGGTGCCTGCCCTTGAGTTCACCGCCAATTACTTTGGTCGCTAATGGGAAACCTCCACAACTTCTCACAACCTGATGACCGAAGCAAGTTGATCCTTTGTGCTAAAATTGTGAAATGAGATGATTGATTATGGGCCAAGGTTAGAGAGAAAGAACCTGTCGGAGAATATGGATCTTCGAGTAAATTAAAGAAGGTGGTACCAACTGGTTTTGCAAAGTGAGGTGCGAGCATGTTTGGATTAGATGCTAACCTCAGTTAGAATGGGTCAAACTGAGGTTAGGATAACAAATGTTAAAAAATCTTGTTTGGATTAACATAATTTTTCAACCTTAGTTAGCATAAAAACGTGCGTTAATGTTGAAGCTCACTTATCTGGCTTTTGTCTCCTGAGCGTTAGCGTTAATGCCCGTTGGAAACATTAAATACATTTTAAATTTTGATACTTTCTCTCTCTTTCTTTTTATCTACCATAGTTGTCTTTCCTTTGTGCATGCTGCTTTTTATCTGTGACCTCCGAAGCAGCTTCAAAACTCACAGATCTGCTTCTTCCTTCAAAACGCTCGCTATACACCTCATAGATCTGCTTCTTGCTTTCATTAGTCAGGCGACGCCGTCCATTAGCTCATCTTCAAAACTCAAATTTTAAATTTTGAACTCACAAGCTCGTGCAGTGGAAAAGTGCAGGGGAATGTCATGGGAGGGGGCGGAGCCGCCATGGTGGTGGGAGAGGAGATTGGCGATGGCTGTTCTAGCGAGTTTTTTGGGACGTTTGAGCATGAGGTTGAGGTCTATCATGAGTTTCCCGTTTGTGAAGCCTTTATGGAGCATGAAGAAGAAGACACGTACAATGCTCCACGCTCTCTTGGATATTACTGTCAAATTGCTTTCCATGTTTGTATATTATTGAATTGCTCTTTGATTTGTTTGCAACTTTATTTTAATTTAGAGAGAGAGATTGAGAGACACGAAGAGATGAATTGATGTATTTATAATAAACTCCTAACAATTATGACACGCATAATATATGAATCATATAAATTGAATATTAATTTATTTAAAGTTTTTATGATTGAATATTTAAGATATTTTATTTATTAGTTGTGATTTTAAGTTTAATATTTTTTACTTATTAGTTAATCAAAAAATATAAACATGTTTATTTAAGATAAAAAAATTTATGTTTATTTTTACCATCAAACATCTTAACTGGCTTTTGAATTAAACCATCCAAATGAATTTCAGTTTATCTAACTGACTTTTAAAAAAAATAATATTCAAATATAAATCATGTTACATCAACTGACTTTTTTTCTAACCTCAATTTACTAACTTCAATTGTAAATTTTTTAATCCAAACATATACGTGAAAGCTCGATTGCATCATCTTCACCTAGTGGTGTCATGGTCTCTCGGGTACCCAAATCTGGGATATCAACTATTGAGATCACCAAAATTCTAGATTTAGGATTTGATGATATCCAATTCATACACTGCTCCACAATTCCTACAAAGCCAGGCTGAAAATTATCCAGCACCAGAAACACAGCCTCAGTATCCCTTTTTTCACGTAACTCTTGAAACAATTGCTCTGCCACAACCTCATTGCTTTCAATCCATGAACCTGCGACGAAGATATTATCCCTGAACCAATCTGTTCATCCAGATGAGTCCTCGGCATCATACTTCAATTCATTATTCCATTTGAATGATACTGACTGGGTATATAGTTATCAAGATAAATAGGATGAAAATGCATGCTTTGGAACAAAAACTCTTTCATCAGTAATTATAATTCTACGGTGCATATTGATAGAAGAGAGGGTTACCTTGGACTCGCGGATCATGACAGAGCTGTTTGGCTAAGGTGGTCTTGCAACTCTTTTTTTTTTTTTCAAGAAAAATATTTTTGTAAAAAAGATGTTAGTTTGGATATTATTTTCATTTTTAATGTTATATATATTAAATTAAAAATTTTGAAAATTTTAATATCAAATCTAAATTATCCAATATACATTTGGATAATCAATTTCTAAAAAGAATTATAAAATGTTTTAATATTAGATTGGACCTCCAAAATTAAATCTCAATTATTTAAATTGGTGATGGAGTACATTTATTAAAATTTTTATTTTAAAAAATATAAAACAAAATCTTTAAATTTAAGCTATCCAAATTAAAATCTTAACTGTTCATATCTTATCAAGTTGATGAGCACCAAAACCAACCGTATGCATGCTTCTATCTTATGTTACAGTGCTTCCTTCTTTGTGGGTTGCTCGTTGAAGAGACTCTGGACCGGACGTTTTACCACAATGCTCGAAGCCTTCTCCGCGGAGTCCAAAAGAAGAGAGAAGCACGTCCCATTGGAAAACAAACTAAACTTACTTTTTTCTGCTCCATATTTAATTAATCCCATTGTAGCAGTTAAGGGGCAGCAAAATCGAACAAAACTGACAATATCAAACTAATCCAATAAAAATAAAATAAAATTTATTATTATTAGAACCTGGTTTGTTTTCATAAATTTAAAAACTAAATGGAATTTGGTTTAAATTTTGATTTTTCTTTTCCTTTGAAATCCTAACGAAACCTGAACCAATTTTTTTATAATTTTAAATGTATTTTCTAGATATAATTAATATTAGATTATTATTGTTTATCTTTTTTAATTTTAACTTTAGCTAAAGTTGAACGAAAACCCAAACTTCTTTAAAAGTATCTCTCGCCCTTCCTTTTTCAATTTTGCTATTAGAGAGTCAAATAAATATACTCGTGTTTCTTCAAGAATGATCTTCCAAATAATTTTAGATATAAAATTTTCTCCTTTTTTGATTCAAAACAAGCTCTTTTTTATTTTTCATAGATATCCTTCTATTGAAAGTAATCTTATTTGAGGTACAATCGAGTATTAAATTTGAACACAACTCGTATTACTTAGACAATTTAACTTGTGTTACTAATGATGTTTATTAATAATAAAATTTGAATATTTTATTCTAGATATGACGTTCATTTCCATTCATATATAATAAAGTCAAGAATATGATTTGAAATTGAAAAATGAAGGAAAAAAAATAAAAATATCATGCTTTAGTCTTAATATATGATTTTATTTGTTAAAAAAATATTAAAACTTAATTCATGTATAAATTAAACCCAATCAAACTACCTCAAAATCAAACCAAACTAATCTAATAAAAAATCAATCAATTGTTTTTTTTTTGTACAAGCCGATCATTGGTTTAGTTCATGTGTTTTGATTAAACCAAAACCAAATTACACTTTTAATTACCCTCAATAGTAGCCTTGGTTTTAAGTTGTGGAGGATATTGTTATCAAACTCTTAAGTTGACTCTATAAGTTTATTATTTTTATATTTCTAGCTTATAACATTGTATTAATTTATTCATAAACTCGAACTAGATAAAACTTGGTTAAACTCGCGAATTGATTCTCTGAATTTATTGTTTTCATATTTTTAACTTATAAAACTGTGCATATCTACTCAGAAGCTCGTTGAGCAAGATATGTATATATTGTGTTGAACTTAATTTAAAGAAAAGGTAGGATTCGGTTCAATGAAAAAATAAAGCTAAAAAATAATATTAATAAAAAAATAAAAAATATAAAAAATAAGTTGCCTTATTTTAAAATTTTTTATGTTGATATATGGATAAACTTAATTTCAATTATTTATATTTGAAATATATTTAAATTAAATTATGATCATATTTTATATTTTAATTATTTAATCATATATTTTTAAAGACTATTTATTAATAAAAATAAAATTTTATTAATTTAAATTTTAAATTTATATTTTTATTGTAAGTTTATCGTGAGTTTAACAGCCTTGGTGGAGGGTAAGCACAATGACAATGTCAAATTTAATTTCTAAATTCTACATGTAGCACGTCTAACTGCTCATAGGCAATGTCTTTCTCAATTGGCGTTCACAAGTCATTTTGTGGGTTCCATATATAATATCCCCATCTAATCTGACTTTTGTGATCAAGGTGATATTTTTCAGAATTTTCATTGTCACCAATTCATTTTTCATTATATTTAATTAATTATTTCAACTTGACAAATGTTCAGAAAGTTTATAGTTGATTATCTGTTTGAATTTTATAATTCCTGAGAAGTCTAACTACTTTTTAAATAAATATATTACTTTTTCATGATAAAAAAACATCCTTTTAATTAAATTTTATTTTATATTCTAAGGACAAATTTGAAAATATATAATAACTATATATTAGGAAAGTGGAACATGCTTGGATTTTGTCCATTAAGAGCATGTTTGGTTTTTAAAGACTGTTTTATGTTTTTAAAAATAAAAAAATAAAGATTTTGTTTGAATAACTAAAATAATTTGTTTTCAAAAATATTATCATTTTTTATTTTTAAAAATAAAAAATAAAAAATAAAAACATTTTAAATTTATTTTCATTTCGTTTTTTTTTTCAAATCACATTGTATTTGATTATTGAAATATTTAGTTAGCTTGACTGGTTTGTACCACAAACCACCCCAATTAATTGCCTGTAACTATCATTATCATCTTATTTTTTAATTCTATAATTATTTTTGAATTAACATGACCAAACATATTTTCATTTCATTTTATTTTAAAAAACAAGTCTAAAAATTATATTATAAAAGAATTTTTTAAAATAAAAAATGGGACAGAAAGCAATAATTTTCTTTCATAATTGTGAAGAAAGTGTAAGGCTTCACTTTTTAGAAAGAATTTTTAGTGAACCAGACATGGAAAAGTCCATTGCTTCTTGAAAAGTTTAGCTCCTTCCTTTCTAGTACTTGGCCGGCCTATTTGGATATCTTTCTAAAATCAATTCTAAATTTAAAATTATGGTTTTAAAAAATTTTATCCAAACACCTCAATATTTTTAAACTCCATTAGAGATGAGCTAGAACTTGTTCCATTTTAAAAAATTAATTCTGAACATTAGTAGCTTGTCACTTTAAATAGTAGAATTATTTACTTAAAATTAATTTTAAAAAAAATTATTCAAACATCATCAATTTTTTCATAATTAATTTTTGAAAATTTATCCAAACATAAAAACGTTCTAATAATCAATTTTTTTCATAATCAAATTTTTCAATTGAAATCCAAACACAGCTGACTCCTTGACCAATTGATATCTTTGATTGAATATTTGCTAAATTATTCACTTTCCATCTTACTGCACTACCGCAACGCAAACTGGATCTTTAAACCAGTGCATTTATCCATTTAATAATTTTCCAAATAAATGAATTTCTTCTCTTTCTCTGTGTTTTTTTTTTTTTCCGATTGTGATTTCTGCTTCTTCTTCTTTCCCTTTATTTTGTTATGATTATATTTTTTGGTGCCAAAGGAAAAGGTCAAATAAGGAATATGGAAAGATCCGGAAAAGTTTCATCCCGTTGATCCCATGGAAACAGAGGCTGGATTCTGAGTATTGGTTGTCTAGTAGTAGTAAACCAACATTCTTGTACAAATTCACAGAAGGAGATTCATTAGGACGACGAACCGGGAAAACAAAAATGAAATAACGGAAGAAAAAAAACATGTTAAATATATAGAGCATTTTACATGCATGTCAATTTTTGGTAGCTAGTGCATAGAAAGCAAATAAACTTTTTTATTTTTATCACCCAAAATATATTAGCAAATGAAAACTGTGGTTTTATTTTCAGAACTGAAAAATGCATTCACCAGCTATGAATAATCATCCCTATCCATTTTCATGGTGATGCCATCCTCGTCATCTCCTTCGAAGTCACCCCGGAGCCAATTTAAGGTAACGCTCTTGTCCGTCTCTACCTTCAGCTCGAAGTCTATGAAACCCTTGATAACTTCCCAAAGATGATATGTATATTCATCGCATGTCACTCTCTTTAAATGCGTCAATCTCATCACCGAGTCTGCAGGCAGATCACTTATTGAGCAATCCGACATATTGAAATTCGTTAGACTCCTCAACTCACCAATGTTGTCCGGTAACTTCTTGATGTTCAGGCAGAATGATATGTCAAGAAAGCTTAGGCTCTTGAGCTCCGTGATTGACTCTGGTATTTCCTCCATCTCCACGCAGTAACTAATCCGTAGTAATCTCAAGTTCTTAAGCCTTCCAATTTCTTGCGGAATTTGAGTAAACTTGGAGCAATTACTGATGCTGAGCTTCTCGAGGGTTTCAATGTCGCAAAATCCATCAGGCAGCTTCACCAAATCTTTGCAATACTCAATGTTCAGCTCTACCAAATTTGAGAACTTCATGGAACTGTTCTCAAAAGCCGCGGATACTTCACACATGTAAAGCGTTAACTTGTGCAGGTTCTTGGATTCCCAAAGGCAAGGAACTGAAACCTGCTGCAATCTGATTCTCCTGAGCGTCTGTAGAAATCTAATCAGCTCAAAGTTTTTGAATTTAGTGAACCAGCGGTACACACAATTGATCATGATGAGAACTTTCAGGCTTCTCATTTCCCTAATGAATCCCGGCAACGTATATTCTGAAGTCTTAAGGTTTAAAATCAGAACCTCAGCTCGGGCCGCTTGAATTACGCACCAATAGGGAGTGACTTCTTGATCTGCAATAGAGCATCAATCAAGAGCGGAAGAGAAAGAAGCAGAAAAAGAAACTAAGAGAGAAAAACAAACCTGTTAAAATGGATAATATACGAGCATCTACCCTTTGCTGCGTTGGTCCTTTCAGCAATGGCAAGCAGGCAGAGATCCCTCGCTGCGGCGGTTTTTGTTGCCACCATTCGGGAGGATCATTCAGATTTATTTCAATAAATAGTCTTTTCCTCTGGAATGCTTCCCCCTGCTCGCTTGAATTTTTAGCCAGCTCTCTTGGAATATTATGCTGGGTTATGAAGTGATTCTCGTAGTAATTGTCTTCATCGCTTCCAATTCGCCTGGTTCAGTCACAAGATTACGAAAGCACATTTTAATAAATTAATTTGTTCCAACCAGTGTGTGTTATGAGGATCGCTAATACAGAGCACTAGTGTCAGTGCACCATATCTTAACTTGAAACAAAATTCGAAGTTTATATATTTGGTGGCGTCCTCAATGCATGGGGAGCTTATGATGAGCTGTTATTTGAGGGAGAGATTGTTAAAATATACAGGTGTGAGTGAATATAAGTTGACGTGAGAAGTTCTACATGGTCGACTTAAGAACTAATATATAATAAAGTGAAAGAAATTATAAACTTAATGGTTTGAATTAAAATAGATATTCTTCTACTACTTCTTGCTTATTTGTTCTCTCCATTTGACTGCGTATTCCTAACTATATCTGTATATGAGAAATAAATCGCCACCATGGATTCACTCCTCAGTGTATTTACCTTTCAACCACTTCTATATATCAATCAAATTCTTGGCATTAAATAATTGTACATCAGCCAATTTTTTGTTTTTTTGTTTTAATGTAGTTGTATACTTACCTTCGAACCACCTGATCAGCCAGATTCATGTTTGTCAAATAGTGGATGTGGATCATGGCATCTATGTCATCCTTGACTTGTTCGTAAAGTTCCATCCACATGTCAAACAAGGCAGTAACGGGGATCATTTTATTTCTGGGGAATAAGCCAAGGTCCATGAAGAATTCTCTGTTGCTTTGATATTCTTTGGAGACACTCAAGGAATCATGGAGACGAGTAAGCAGCTCTGTATCAGTTTGAAGGACAGAGCGACCTTGGTGTGACCATTGTTTCAGCTTCTTTTGCCAGAACTCAATGGGCTTCCCTTGGAGATCCCCGCCAATTATTTTAATGGCCATCGGATAACCTCCACAGACTTGTACGACCTGTAGGAGAATGGGACGGTCAGGGAAAGTGTAGGTGGATGTGCCACTTGGTCGAACAAAATGCCGTAAAAGATCGATGGCATCTTCGTCACGCAATGGCGTCATCTGCACTGGGATGCCCAAACCTTGGAGGGCAGCTCTCGAAGTGACCAAAATCTTGGATTTAGTATTTGATGACATTTGATTGCTCCACCGCGTAACAGGTTGTTCTGAGCCAGCCTCAACATCATCCAGCACCAGCAACACTGTCTTCCTCCCATTTTCACGCAACTCGTGTTCCACCTGCTTAGCCAGATCTCCATCGCTTTCAATCTTTGAACCTACGGGCACAAACAGGATATTGTCGCTGAAGCAGCCTGTTCATCCATATCAGCCCCAAGTTGATAATCAGTCATTACCGTCATATATTCATATTTGGACAAACTCATTGTTGAGATAATTGTTGAGACGCCACCTCTGCAGCTAGTATGCTTGGTAAGTTAGTTGATTGTAATGAGACTGATAATGGAGTGTTACATGATGTTTCACACGTTTGAGAGATCCCAGTTGGGATGTGAGGGTGTCACATGCATGCAAGGAGGGTAATTGTTGTGCTGACCATTTAGTAGGTCTGAGCTTGAGGAAAGAGCAGGGTTGTTCTTTCTGTTGGAACCCGATAGAGTTGCAAGAATTGTTGTACAGGAATCAGGTGGGCGTTTCTAAGCCCAGGTTGATACGTATGAAATAAATTTCGGGCCTTGGCCCTGTATTTTACAAAAAAAAAAAAACCTTGCGTTATTAACTTTTTTTTATATTAAATATCGTATTTTTTTATATATAATTAATTTTATAACAAATTTTTTTTATTTTAATTTAATTAAATAAAATCATATTAAATATATAATGTTATGTAGTTAAATCTTGTCATGAATAAAGCAAATTTAGAGGGCTTGTCTATAATTAATTATCTTATTTTGGACTTATTTATGATTTTCTCTTTCTTTGCTGGGGCCTTCGAACCGGCACGACATCTTATAATTTATGCTTATTACCTTTAAACTTCATTAATGTTAATACAATATTTTTAAATTATTTATTTAAATATTAATCACCTTAATTATTTAAAGTTTTGTAAATTGGGGGAGAGTTGATAATTTAATTATAATAGAAAATTAATAATCTTAAAATTTTCAATATGACTATAAATAAATAATTAGGTATTTTAAAATTTTTAACCTAATATTTCTAACGGTGTACCAAATTAGAGTAAACGGAAGAGGCTTGAAAAAACTAGCCACCTGGTTTGATTCGTATGACAAGAATAGGTGTGGATGAAATTATAAGATGAATCTATCCTCTCCTGATCATGTAAATATATTATATTTATGTGCCTTACCAAGCCTCCTGGTTCGAGTCACATTACAAGAATAAGTGTAGATGGACTTCGAGGCCAGGTGAATCTATCCTGCTAATATATATGTGCAAGATTATGGAAGATTAGATTTCAGTGTTACCTCGCACATCAATATCACGACAGAGCTGCTGGGCCAAGGTGGTCTTCCCCGAGCCGGTGAAACCAGTCAAGTTAAGGATCCGGTCTCCGCCATCTCTCATGAGGCTAGACTTCAAATTTGTCATCAACGGACTGTTCCATCCCACTGTAAACTCCGACGACATCGTTTCGTGATCAATCTTAAACCTTGGTTGACGAATATTATCATTGCCGGGTACAGTACTATTCCCGGGTCGGTGGGCTCGGCCTTCGATCACAGCCTCCGCCGTCACCAACATACTCCAAGTATTTATTAAACCTTGGATTTCATGGTGTGCACTCTGAAGCTTTTGCTGGTAACTTGGCGCCATCCAGCAGTTCCAGAATCCGATTATGGAGTATTTGTTCCGAGCCTTTTGGATTTTCCTCCTGATCACCTGCAAAGCCTTTATGTCCTGGGCTGACGATTCCGACGTCGTCGTGCTGAGGAGTTGTTCAATTCTTTCAAGCTTTGGGCCTACTAGATCCACTGTGTTGTTGAAACTCTCGGCTGTGCTTCCATGATTCAGACCCCTGTTAATTATATCCGCAGCCTCCCTTCCTAACTCCAAAACCAGCGACACGGGATCCCCCATCCTCTCGATCGATCAGGCACCTCACAGCCTGGCTTTCCACCTTTCCTAAACTTCCTCAGCAATTTGTTTTTGAGGGTGGAAGACTACTCTTGGAGTCCATGTAATGAAAATTAAAGAAACTTATATTAATTATTGGTGATACAAGAACAATGTTATGAAAACCGGACCGGTCATTGAACCGGTCAAGGTATCGGTTCACGGTTCAATGGTTGGACTGCGGTCTAAATCGAGATCAAACTGATCATAAATAAATTGATATATTTTAAATATTATATATTTAAAGTAAAAAGAAATCATATATAGTAAGAAAAATGAATATGTAAATTTCAAACAAGATAATTTATAATTTATATTATGACATCATTTTCATCCAAAATATATATAATTATTTCATAATTTATAATTTATAACATTAAAATATATACACACACACATAATTTATACATATTTCTTGCATTTTTTCATTTCACCATGCTTATTGGGTATAAATGTGTATAAATTATATTTTAAAAATATGAGTTAAAAATAAAAAATAAAAAAGTAAAATGGCTGGTTCAACTAATTTTTCACATCCGACTCAACCGGTTCATGAGCGGTTCACAAGGAAAGCAATTTTTAGGTGTAATTGGACCTATGACCGATTCCTGATTCAACTAGTCGGATCGGCTAGTCAGTCCGATTCTGATAATAGTGTAGAAGAAGACACAGAGGAGCTAGGGGACCACCCCTTCGTAAAATAAAATTTTATATATATTATTATTATTATTATTATTATATATTTATTAAAATAAAAATTATAATTTTTTGGTAAATATATTTATTATTACTATAAATATTACTGATTTAATCTAGACAGTCCAATTTAATAATAAAAAATTTATACTTTTATAAATTAATTAGTTAGATGTATTTTGGATGGGCTTTATATAATATTAAATTTGGATAATTCAAATTAAATGTTAACTGTTCTGACCAAATTGTTGATAAAAGAGATTTATTAAATTTTTTGTAAAATTTTTATAAGTTCTTATTTTAATAAATATGAAATAAAAATAAATTAAAAGTTTTAAATTTAGATCATCCACATCTCATCTTCCTTAACAGGCACAAAAAATTGATCCTGGGAGAGGACCACCGGTTGTCCGGTTCGATTACATGATTAAAAAAGATGCGAATGGAATTATTTTTCATAGCCGTAAATTTCAAAGAAATGGCTGGCCATGGTGGTGTTGGGTGGGGACTATAGATAACTTTGAATATAAGAATATTGGTTGCTTTATATTTTCTTATGTTTATGGATTCTTTTGACTATTAACTTTTTTTATAGAGCATTACAAGTCATTGATGGTGAGAATATGCCAAGAAGAAAAACAAAAAGTTGTGGCTATAAATTAAGGGAACTTCTAGGTTTTAGCTATATAAAATTAAATTAAGTAATTAATTCAATAAACCGACTCATGAATTATCCCTCTTGTCCTATTTATTAAAGTAGTTGGATAAGGGTTTTTGTGATTCTTTTATTAAGGCATCATATTATTTTTTTTATGAATTTTTATTTTACCTTTATTCAATATATAATATTAATGTAAGAAAATAGAATTTTTTTAAAAAAAACATATTTAATATAAGAAAAGTAAAAAAAAATTAGTAAAGACAGAGTTAATGATTATCAATTTTAAAATTTTATTTATTTTTTAATAAAAATACTAAAAATAATTTATAAATAAAAATAAAAAAATATTATCAGCTAAAATTAATGCGAGTGAAACTTTTGTTGTTCAAATAAATAATTGAAGGTTTCAATCTCAATCTTTATATATACAGTAACTTTTTGGTGAAATCTATCTCTCTCTTTTAATATCACTGGAGAGATCTCTTCTACTGACAGAATCTTCTTCTTGGGTTATTAAAAAAAATAGAAGAAATATTTTAAATCCCATCTCTCTTTTTTAATTCGTCAATGTTACCATCCTTTCTGCCTATCGTGGTGTCGATACATACAAGCATGACAATGATAATTTAGTTATGGGAAGAAATTGCCACTTCAATCTTTTAGATTTTGAAACACAAATCAACCTTTAATTTAAAATAATCTAACATATAAAATTAGTTGATGACTTGACATATTGCATATGGCTAAATGAAAACAAATTGGCCTTCAAGTCAGATTGATTTTATCATTAATTTAGGTAGATGTCAAACTCAATATTCTTCACTTATGTTAGCAAATTTTAGTGGTATGTTACCTTTTATTCAAACAGTAAATTTAAAAGACTAAATATTAATGTAAAATTGAAGGGCTAAAGTTTTATCATCTATTTTTAAATATGCATTTGATAACAAATTTAAAGTAGAGTGAGTTATAATCTATAATTAAATGATAGTATTTTAACATTTTTTTTATTTATGTACGTGCTAATTTAGTTTTAAATTTTAAAATTTCAATAACAAAGGGTAAGGTTTATAAATTTTGCTTATAAAATATGTTGTTTATATTTTTAATATACACAAAATGACAAGTTATAAAATGAAATAAGTTGTTGACAAAAAGAAAATTTCTATAATAAAAAATTGTGTGAATGCAAAGAAGAATTACCTCAAATTGTGCCAAATAATATTTGAATATAAACATATAACCGTATAAAAAAATTATGTTATTTACATTTTTTTATACAGACGAGGATGAAAAATTCTTAAATAAAATAAATGGTTATTTATATTTACAACTAATAACTTATAAACCATAATATATTGTTTAAATTTTAATTTATATGTTGGCCAAAAAAATTAATTTATGTGGGGATCACATATATAAATTGTTTATATTTTTTATATGCACATGATATCATACTTTAAAATAATTTGTGTAAGATAAAACAAATTATTATCTATTTTTTATTCTACACAGGTAACATCCTATTGAAGGCAATCCTATTCGAAACATAGCCAGTCATTATATATGGGTGCCTTTTCTAGTGAGGATTAATTTTAGGGCTTTAGAAAATTTAGCCAACATTATATGATTAAAGAAAACTAATAACCCACCTTTTCCTAAATTAAGATAATGGTCATTTTCTAATTTATCTTTGATACAAAAGACAAAACTACCATTTAGCATCACAATACCCTGATTCCTCTTTTTCACACTGGTTTCGCTTTCACCCACCCGAAGATGTGGAGACGACACTGCACTCTTGGTCATAACAACGAAGAAATTGATAGTTGATAATGGAACAACTCACACCAATGGATAAACAGAGTTAGAGATTCAACTAGGAGACTACAAGAACACAAGGTAAGGCAGATTGGAAGCTACAGATTTAGGTTGAAAAATCACGAATGCAAGGTGAGGAAGTCTGAACTACAACTTCTACACAAAGCTACACTAAAGCTGTAAATCTAGGGTGAGGAAGTTCAGTTAGACTCTGTTACAAAGTCAGAGTTCAAGCAAGGGTTTCCTAAGATTTTGTTTGATCTGTTTTGAAAAAATGATTATGTATCTGTATATCAATTATAAATAAGTTTATGTCTAATTATCTGGTTATGTTAATTTATGATAGTATATCAATGATATAAAATTATATATCACTAATACATAAGTCATGTCAGTGATTTTAACTTACCAATTTGTTTATTATTGATATACAACCGTATATCAATAATATAGTATCGTAGATTAGTAATGGAGTTTTCTTTTTAATGTTTAATGTCCTCTTTGTAATATCTGGGAAAAATAAAGAGGGAGAGAGAGGAAAAGCTTTGTGATGAAGATAGTGATCCAGAAAAATTAGATAAAAAATTTTAATGAAGAAAAACACTGTATAAGAGATGAATATGATGATAAAAAAAAATCAGATCCAAAAATATGATGAAGAAAATATTCAGAGATGATAAATCAAAGAGAGAGCACACACAATATGATTTTTTATGATAAAAATGAAAGATTTAATCAGCTAAAGATTAATTAAATCAAATATATTTTGTTTTAATAATAAATTTATTCTGAGGATAAAAAAGAAAAATATATCTAATTAATTTTATGAATGGATCATATTTTAAAATATTTAAAAACCTTATCCATAAAGTAATAATTATATAAATAGTTAATTATAAAGAGAACAAAATATTCAAAATGATAGAAATTTCAAATGATAAAGTATAAAGAAAATTTAAAATTATAAAAAAAATATGGGAAGAAATGGATTTCAAATCCAAATCTATAAATTTTTATATATTTAAATAAAAGATTCAATCTAAATTCTCATTAATCCAAATAAACTGTTAGCAAATGGAAACTGTAGTTTTGTTATTATCACTTCTATTCCGAAATGAAAAGTACATTTACCTGTCATGAATAATCATCTCTGTCCATTTTCATGGTTATGCCATCCTCGTCATCGCCTTCAAAGTCACTCCGCAGCCAATTTAAGGTAATTCCTTTGGCCGTCTCTACCTTGAGTTCGAAGTCTATGAGACCCTTGATAACTTCCCAAATATGATATGTATATTCATCGCATGTCACTTTCTTTAAATGCTTCAATCTCATGACAGAGGCTGCAGGCAGATCACTAATTGAGCAATCTGACATATTAAAATTTGTTAGACTCCTTAACTCGCCAATATTGTCCGGTAACTTCTTAATGTTCAGGCAGAATGATATGTCAAGAAAGCTTAGGCTCTCGAGCTCTGTGATCGACTCTGGTATTTTCTCAAACTCCGCGCAGTAACTAATCCTTAGTAATTTCAACTTCTTAAGCCTTCCAATTTCCTGCGGAAGTTCCGTAAACTTGGAGCAATTACTGATGCTGAGCTTCTTTAAGGTTTCAATATGGCAAATCCCATCAGGCAACTTCAGCAAATCTTTGCAATACTCAATGTTCAGCTCCACCAGGTTTGGGAACTTGATGGAACTGTTTTCAAAAGCCGTGTACACTTCACACATGTAAAGCGTTAGCTTGTGCAGGTTCTTGGATTCCCAAAGGCAAGGAACTGAAACCTGCTGCAATCTGATTCTCCTGAGCGTTTGCAGAAAAATAATCAACTCGAAGTTTTTGAATTTAGTGAACCAGCGGTGCACATGATTGATCACGATGAGAACTTTCAGTTTTTTCGTTTCCCTAATGAATCCTGGAAACGTATATTCGGTAGTCTTAAGGTTTAAAATCAGAACCTCGGCTTGGGCCGCTTGAATTACGTACCAATCTGGAGTGACCTCTTGATCTGCAAGATGGCACCAATCAAGTGTGGAAAAGAAACAGAAAGAGAAACTAAGAGAGGAGAAACAAACCTGTAAAAATGGATAATACACGAGCATCTACCCTTTGCTGCGGCTGATTTTGCTGCCACCATTCAGGAGGATCGTTCCCATTTATTTCAATAATTAGTCTTTCCCTCTCGAATGCATCCCCCTGCTCGCTGGAATATTTGTTAGCCAGCTCTCTAGGAATATTGTGCTGAGTTATGAAGTGATTCTCGTAGTAATTGTCTTCGTCGCTTCCAATTCGCCTGGTTAAGATTACGAAAGTACATGTATAAATTAATTTGTTCAAAGTCATCAGTGTGTGGGAAATAAATCGCCACGTTGATATCACTCTCACTGATCCTATATACTTTATAAAATTAAGGAACTTAAATGAAAAGGATGAAATATATACTTTAATTTTTTTTAATACTCATCTTTAATTTCATACTTTTATTACTAAATTTTCAGTACTCATTTTAACTATTTTTAGCACATTTCTTTTTGTTTTCAATTATTAACTTAGATGTTCTCAATACTTATTATCTGCAACCATAGAAGATGTCAAGATGAGTACTATTGAAAAAATTTAAAGTGACTATTGAAAAAAAAAAAAAAAACCTCAAGGCTAAAAACATTGAAGATGAGCATTAAAAATATAAAAAATGAGTATTAAAAATACAGAAGATTAGTATTAAAAAAATTCAATCAAAAAAAATTAATTCTAACAATAGGGATCGTTGTTTTTTTAATGAAATTTCATAGTTTTAAGGTCTTTAATTATAATTAATGTGTTTAGAAAATCCTTAAATGCCATTTTTTATTGAATTTAGTAGTGGCATTTACCTTCGAACCACCTTATCAGCCAAATTCATGCTCGTCAAATCGTGGATGTGGGTCATGGCATATATGTCATTCTTAACTTGTGGGTAACGTTCTATCCACATGTCAAACAAGGCAGGAACGGGGATCATTTTATTCCCGGGGAATAAGCCAAGGTCCATGAAGAATTCTTTGATCCTTTGAAATTCTTCGGAAACACTCAAGGAATCATGGAGACGAGTAAGCAGCTCTGTATCAGTTTGAAGAATAGAGAGACCTTCCTCTGACCATTGTTTCAGCTTCTTCTGCCAGAATTCAATGGGCTTCCCCCGGAGATCCCGGCCAATTATTTTGATGGCCATCGGATGACGTCCACAGCCTTGTACCACCTGTTGATAAATCAAAGCCTCTCACAAATTAAATCATATATAGATAAAATATCTAACAACGCAAATGGATGACGCAAAGTTTTTCAGGACCTGTAGGAGAGTATCCCTGTCAGGGAGGAAAGCGTGGGAAGGGGCGCCACTTGGTCGAACAAAATGAAGTAAAAGAGTGATGGCATCATCTTTACGCAATGGCCTCATCTGCAATGGGATGCCCAAACCTCGGAGGGAAAATCTTGAAGTGACCAAAATCTTGGATTTGGTATTATTTGATGATATCTTATCACTCCACTGCATTACAACTTCCGAGCCAGGCTCAACATCATCCAGCACCAGCAACACAGCATTGCTCCCATTTTCACGCAATTCGTATTCCACTTGATTAGCCAGATCTTCATCGCTTTCAATCTTCGAGCCTACGGGCACAAACAGGATATTGTCGCTGAACCAACCCGCTCGCCCGGATCAGCCCCAGCAGCATTGAGTTAGTACTCCTCATATTTTCATTCACATTCACCTAACTTTAATTGATGGTTAAATCACATATATTATACCGAAATAGTCTTCTTTGAATATAGGTGTTGTTTTAAAAATTATTCAAGTTGCTTAAAAAATTAATGCATATATTTTTATACCTTTTTATTCATATTTAATTTTTTTTTCATCATGTAAACTTATTTATTTAATAATTTTTTTAAAAAAACTAAAATATATAAGTCAACTAAAATAATATTTCAAACTCATGCAAAAAATTAATGAAATAGAGATTTAATGTGATAAAATATGAATTAGTCAATATAATTTATGCTTATATTTTTAAAAAAATTTAAATCTAAAACAATATTTAGAACTGTTAGATTAAGGTGTAGAAGAAATATCTGGATCTACATTTTCGAATATTTCTCTATACGCAACATTAGTGGTGCTCGTCTTTGGTTGACGACTTGAAATTTGAATCATGGATTATTAGTGGAGTCCATTCATTGATGAAGAAAGATTGATGATGGAATATATATAGGCTGAGGCTGAGAGAGTTCAGATTTCACGAGGGATATAACACCTTGATTTTTAATTAAGGAATAAGTTGGGAACTTCAAGATTTGAAATTTACTTTGAGGTGAAATTTAGGAATAAAAATTCATTTGAGGTTGTTTGAGGATAATGTCATGCTTAGGCAATTAATTATGAGTTTTATTTGGCCAAAGACCTTGTAGAAGTGTTAAATAGGGTCCAGAGTATGAAATTGGGACGGACTAGGCCTACAAATGGTAGAATTAGGCCTTTGAAGGTTGACCATGTGTGGGTGAGCTTAACACAAGGCTCGGCCACAAGCGGATGGAGGGCAAAATGCAGGAGTTTCACTTAAATGCTTGTCTGCGCATGTACAAGCTTTTGCTGATTCCAACTGCATGTGGATGAGAGGCATTTTAAGAATCCCTGTTCTACGAAATCAGATAGAACGTGTGAGAGGGGCCGAGAATCAAAGGGAGCTTTGAGTTTTCTCTGTTAGGGTACCGAACTTGGAGTGGTTTTCAAGCCGTGCAACCACTTGAGGTCAGTTTCTAACTTCCTCTTCTACATTGCTACATAATTTTCTTTGAGTTTGAGGAAAATTTTTAAGTTAAGGTTTTCCTATAAGATGTTTAATTTGAACCTATGATGATTTATTATGTTGTTGAGATTGCTGGGAGTTTGATAAATTCTACACAACATTTATTTAAGGTTGGAATTTGAATTTGAGGATTTTGAATTAAATCCTAAACTTAGATGGTGAAGTTTGGTTGAATCTGAACTTGTGGGGTTAATTTCAAATGTTTTGATGTTTATTTAAACATAGATAAGTGTTTCTATGGTATTAGAATGTTGATTTGATGCTTGAGGATGATTTTTTTTATTTTTGGGGTATTTTTGGATGAATTTTGAAGTTATGTAATGATGAAATATTAATGTTGGGATTGATTTGAGGTTTAATTAGAGGTTGAGTGTAAGAGGATGATAGAAAAATTTTTTGAAAGAGTTAAAATGGATTCTAACCCTGAATTGGTACTAAATGTGGGTTAGGCATAGACTTCCTAATTTTAAATTGAGAGTTATATATTTGTTACAATATGAAATTAATATGTAGTATGATGTAATGATTGTGTAGATTGTGTTGATTAAAAGATTGGAGGAAGTGGTGTTGTGAAGGAAAATTTATTATTTAAGATACAAGGCAACCATTTAAAATATAGATAACTTGTCAGGATATTTTGAAATATTATTGTTGTTGGAAAATTTTTGCTTAGATAATTACTATCATGTGGTAAATCCTCATCAGACCCAATAAGTGGCATGTAGCTTGATCTAAGTTACATTTAGCCAGGTGATTTGGCTTCTAGGCATAGCATAAAGAGGGATATAAAGTATAGTCATGTAATTAAATATTTGTTCAATTTGTTTGGAAATATTTATTCAAATAAATGTTTTATATACCGATTTAACAATCACATGATTAGTAGCATCTATATATATTGTTACATATTAATTTGAGTTAATAGGACTTTTAAGTCGCATTTCTTGTGATTAACAATTTTTGTAGGAACAAGTTCGGCTGAGAAAGCACCAAAGACAAAGTTTTTGTATATGGAACACCACCTTCTATATTGCATCTTTATCCAGTTTATACAATGCATATAGTGTCAACTTAAAACATATATTATTTTGTAGAGTATGTAGACTCTAATTTTGATTAGCTATATCTTTATGGTCAAGAGCACAATGTCTGTCTCTCTTAGCCCTTAATTTGATTTGAATATTTTGTCTATTCCTCATAGCTTTATATTTGACTTGTATGCTTGACCATGATGATTTTGTTTGTTCCTCATGATTCTAATTGCTTTTTGAGATATTGGTGATATAATAAATTTGTTTGGAATTATTGAGTAATTAGCTAGGTTATATGATGTGATTATGTTGTCAATAAGTGTACATCTCAAAACTATTCTTGGTTGAGGCTAAGTATTAATATTAAATGGTTGTGAATATTGTTCAGACTCATTTTAGATATTTTTAAATAACTAATTGTTCAAAAAATGTTATGATTTAAATAGGATTTATTTTATATCGATTGGGATGTACACTTAGAGCACATTGTTATGTCCAAAAAAAAAAAATTTGTGCTTAGAAATTATTTGGAATTTTGCTACCCCAGGAGTCATACTTCTATGCTAAATTTTGATTTCAAAACTAAAACTTGATTTTGAATATTGTCTGCTTCTATGAGATCTGTTGATGTAAATGATTCTACATTGTTGTTCAAGAAGTATAATTTATTATAACTGTTAGTTTAATTATCATGATAGAATTTATTATTATGTTAAACTTTTTTTTTTTACCATAATAGATCTTTTTTACTTTGGCAGATTATTTACCAAAAAAAAAAATAAGTTCAAAAACTTAGAGTGTTGCAAGGGAGACTGAAAACACAGATTAAATGAGATCTAATTCAAATTTCAAATAGACACGCCACAACAAATGAGCAAATATGACATGAATATTTGAATCTAGGAGAGAGATGGAAAATAGAGAGCAGATGGAATCATTTGAACTTGAATTTCAGGAGGGAGACAAAAATTTGGTTTAATAGCACGGAGCCCAAAGCAAGTCCAAACTATTCATTTGAACCGGGACTATTAGCCGTAACAGTGAAATCACACACAAAGTGTCCACTGTTCATCGGCTGAGAGCCACGCCTTTTTCTAGATTTAGGATTGATATTGGTAGACTTAATTATTGAAAGTTCTTTAAATCAGAGAAGAATAAACAGTGAACTTATAAGGATGAATTAATAATTTAAATTTTTTAATATAATTACAAAAAATAAATATTTTAAAATTTTTAACAAAATATTTTTTAGAGAGTTAAAATTTAAGTTTAATATATGTTTTGAAAATAGAAAAAAAGTCCATAATTTTAGACAATTCAACGGAAGCAAGGAAAGGAAAAAAAAAAAAAAAGAGTAACCCACTTTGACTCAGATAACAAGAATAGAATAGGTGCAGATGATCTTGATATCTAAGTATATTCCTGTATGAATGTGGATGCAAGATTAGATTTTTGTGTTACCTCGAATATCAATATCATGACAGAGCTGCTGGGCCAAGGTGGTCTTCCCCGAACCGGTTAAACCAGTCAAGTTAAAGATCTGATGTCCACCCTCTTTCATGAGGCTAAACTTCAAATCGTTCATCAACGGACTGCTCTGTCCCACTGTAAACTCCGATGACATTTTTTCGTGATCAATCCTAAACGTTGGTCGCTGAATATCATTGCTGGGGACAGTACTATTCCCAGGTCGGTGGGATCGGCCTTCAATTACAGCCTCCACCTTCAGCAACTCACCCCAAGTATTTATTAAACCTTGGATTTCATTGTGTGCATTCTGAAGCTCTTCCTGGTAAGTTGGCGCCATGCAGCAGTTCCAGAATCCAATTTTGGAGTATCTGTCCCGAGCTTCTTGGATTTCCACCCTGATCCCCTGCAAAACCTCGATGTCCTTGGCTGAGGATGAATCCGACGCCGTCTTGCGGAGGTGTTCTTCGATACTGTCAAGCTTTGAGATCACTAGATCCATCTTTGCGTTGAAGTTCCTGACTGTTCTTCCATGATTCATACCCCTCTCAATTATATTCGCAGCATCCTTTGCTAAGTTATAAGCCAGCGACAAAGGATTCGCCATCCTAGCAGCCCAACTTTCCTGCTTCGATCAGAAACCAGGCACCTCACAACCTCGATCTCCGCCGTTCTCCTAAACTTCCTAGGGCAGTTTATTTCGAGTCAACAGAAGAAGACAGATCAGGAGGGGACCACCCCTTTGATTGCTACATGATTAAGAATATGATTTTATTGTTTTATTTTCAGGGAAAATAGCACAGTAGGATCTCTACCGAACCTTAAAAAAAAAAAGATTAAAAGAATATGATTTTACACTACAGGGTCAAAAAACTAAAATGTAAATAAATTTATATATGAAATGACAATAATACACGTATGTTTTTGAAAAAAAGAAAAAGTCCACCCTCACAATAGTAAATTAACTAAAAAATTTATTTATTAAACTAACTTTTAAAAAAATATTTTTAAATATAAATGTCATTACAACAATTAACTTTTATTGAATTGACTTTTGTCAATTAAATTTTCAGCAAATATATTTTTGATAAATTAAAAATCAAACACACACTCAGTTATTTCCCCAGCTTCACTGCTAGTGTAAATTAAATAACGTACTTACTGCATGACATATTTTACCACGATTAACAGAGAATGGAGACGGTAATATTTTTATAAATAAAGAGTTGTGGCTAATAGAGTACCTAAAGATACGTGCATGTATTCACTATAACATGGCAATATAGCCAGATTATTAATAAAGAATTTTCCTCACGACTCGAAGCTGTTTCCCAATGTAAACAGGATGTGATGATGATGCTTACCAAAGATATAGTACGTGAGAAGATTGGCTCAATGAAGAATCAAATATAGTATATTCCAGGTTGTTGCTTGTTGAAAATAAAACATGGAGTAGGGAGCCAAAATTTATTTTAAAAACTTTTAGAAATTTGGTGTTAATAATTGTTTATTACATTTATTTATGGAAATTAAAAAATATTTTTCTCGCGATGATTGGCTAAGATATCAATTGATGAGATATTGGTCTTGACTATCTATAAGAAGACGAAGACAACCAATTTGATGAACAAAAAATAAAAAACAAATGGAAGAAATTAAATAAGATGATAAGGTCCAATAACATATCTTTAGCCCAACTTGCACGCGGAATACTGTTTGTAAATGAAATGACTAGCGGTTAGAAAGTGAATGAGTTTTATTTTATTTTTCATGTTCTGAGTTTCGAACATATTTTTATCTGCTGCTTAAAAAAAATCTTTCACTTTTTTATCTGTAATTGAAAAATTTGTCCAATCTCACACTTTAGTCGTAGTTTGCATTTGGGAGGATGAAGCTTGGGTCTTAAGAGATCAGTTAATAACAATATCGTAATTTTTCTTACAAATAATTAATTAGGAGTAACCTACAAGACTTAAATTCTTAATTTGTAATTAATACTTTCATATTTATAAATATTTGAATGCTTATTAACGATTCATTTAAAAAATAGAGTATGGTCTAATTGTCATTAAATTGATTTTTTGCGATTTAATTTAAGTACTATTATTTCTCTTTACATTTCTATTTCATATCCATATCTCTTGTAATATTTTTCCCAGAATTTTAGGTTGCTTATGGAAATTTTTGAATTTAATATCTTAAATTGAAAAAAAAAATTGGTTGTTAAATTGTTAATGATGTTGATAATTTTTGACGGAGCTTGAGGGTATATTAAAATTAAATGACTCGAGAACGGTTCAAAGTCTGGTGTATTTTTCAACCTTTGGATACATATTAATATTTCAATTCCAAGAGCTTAAGGTTGCATTTGAATGGATAGATTTAAATTAAAAATTTAAATTTAAAATATTATATTTAAAATTTATATATTCTAATATTTTTTATTTCGATGATATAAAAACTTTTAAATTATAATATTAAAATCTTTTGTTTAGATTTCAAATAAAATTCCAAACTTTAAATTATATGTTTGAATTTAAAAGCAACTCGGACGACATCAGTGGTTAAATCCTGATCAAAGTCAGCGGTTTAATCTAAATCAGGTGTGGCAGCTCAGTCTCAATTGACTCCGATTGTCCAAACCTAGATGATGTTAGTGGTCCAAACTCAATTGGTAGCGATAGCCCAATCTCAGTTGATATCAATGGCCCAATCCTAAACAATCCTTATGAATTAGCATGGGACAATTACAACAGTTTGAGAGTTGCAAATTGAACTTAAATGATGACACCAGACCATTTCATGTTAATAACAGCATTTGGCATCGGAAGATGAAGGTAGACATATTAAAGATGGTGATCATAGACTAGTCCTAGACTATGACAACAGTCAAGTCTCAATCGGCACCGACAGTTCAGTCCTGATTGATTCCAATCGTGTGGTCTCAATCACCATTGAAAATTTGATCCTTGTCACCAATGGTGATTCAGTTCTTGTCAAATTTAACAACCAATTTAACAACCAATTTTGCGATTTAATTTAAGTACTATTATTTCTCTTTACATTTCTATTTCATATCCATATCTCTTGTAATATTTTTCCCAGAATTTTAGGTTGCTTATGGAAATTGTTGAATTTAATATCTTAAATTGAAAAAAAAATTGGTTGTTAAATTTGAATTCAGTTCTTGTCAAGATAGAATCGATCTTAAATTGAATTTAATATCTTAAATTGAATTTAATAACTTAAATTAAAAGTGTGTAAATTTAAATTTGACTCAAATTTAAATTCACATGCATTCAAACATAGCAAATATATAAAATTAAATTAAATACTTTTTTTATGGAGTATTACATATTATTGATTGCGAGAATATGCCAAGACATAGAAAAAGTTACAGTTATAAATAAGGAAAGCAACTTCTAAGTTTTAGCTGTATAAAATTAAATTAAATAATTAATTCAATACAGTGACTCCTTTGGAAAAGGGGTTTCGTGATTCTTTTATTAAGGTATCATATTAATTTTCTTATAAATTTTTATTTTTACCTTTATGCAATATATAATGTTAATGTAGGAAAATAGAAATTTTTCAAAAACATATTTGGTATCGATAAAGTAAAAAAATTAGTATAGATAGAGTTAATGATGAGTTTTAATATTTTTATTTATTTTTAATAAAAAATACCGGAAATAGCTTATAATAGATAAAAATATACTCCCTTCATTAAAAAATATAAAATATTTTTTGAGAAGTTTGATATTAAAAAATTTAAGAAATTTTTAGTTTTTCAATAAGTAATAATTACCTTTGTTTCAAAAGTAATCCTATTAAATAAATCACTTTATATTTTTTTATAGTAAAACACCTTATTGAATAAGAGTAAATATAAAAAAATAAAGTTAATTTAAAAACAAGTAATTACTTTATTGGGAGAAAAATTTGGTCAAAAATGTCTTATATTTTTTAATAAAAGAGTAAAAAATATTACCAACTAAAATTAGTGTAAATGGTGCTTTTGTCATTTAAACAAGTGATTTAAGGTTTAAATCCCAACCTCTTTGTTTGTGGTAATTTAGCTGGGAGAAATTTACCTTTCTCTTTCAATATCTTCAAAGAGATAATCTATATTATTGTTGGGATTTACTTGCTCCATTCAAAAGTATAAAATATTTTTAAGGAGTTAGATATTCAAAAATATAAGATATTTTTAGTATTTTGAGTTGTAACCATTGCCTTTTTTTTAAAGTGTCTCTATTAATAATAACTTTATATTTATTATAAAATATTTAATAAAAATAAATATAAAAAGATAAAATTAATTTAAGAATAAATAACTATTTTATTAAAATAAAATTTAGTTAAAAATATTTACACTTTTAAACAAAAAAGAAATATCTCTTACGCTATTATAAAAAATGGATGAAATATTTTAAATCTTCTCTCTCTCTTTCAATCCATCAATGTCACTATCCCTTCCGCCCACTGTGGTGTCCCATACAAGCACGGCAATGGTATTTTATACTAAGAGCTTAAAACATTGAAGTTAGTGGCAAAGTGGTGTGAATGGGCAGCGCGTAAATAGCACTCCCTCTATTAAAAGATTTAAAATATTTTTTAATGAGTTGGATATTTATTTTTAAATGGTTTTAAGTATAATTATTATCTTTTTTTAAGTTTTCATATTAAATAAGAATAAATATAAAAAAATAATTTAAAAATAATTAATTACTTTATTAAGGATAAAATTTAATTAAATATACTTTATATTTTTTAATAGAGAGAGTATATACTCTTTTTATTTATAAGTAATTTTTAGTCTTTTCACTAACATCAAGAAAAATTTAAAATCTTATCAATTTAACTAAAAATTTAATAAGTTTTTAATCTTTCACTACTTCAAAATAATCTTTTTAGACCAATTAAAATAATCTCTTACACTAGTTCTATAACTAAAGTGGAAGTCACTTTTTACATTAGGGTAAAAAGTGCTCATAAGCCTAGTGTAAAAGTTTTAAAAAAAAAAAGGGTAAAAAATGATGGGCACTTTTTACATTGATTCTTTTACATAATCCGTGTAAACAGTTATACATTCTTATTTCACGCAATATTGTGTGCATCACCTCGCGACACATCACTGCCCCCTCATGCCATGATATATATTTGTTACTTATAAAATTTGAACTTATAACTTCTTATCTTTTATGTCTTATGTCTTCTTTTTTTTTTTAATTGAATTGAAATATATTCGCAATTATTATATGAAAATTTAACTACTCCTTCTGTAAAAAAAAATATAAAATATTTTTAATTAAATTTTATTTCTATAAAGTAATTATCTACTTTTAAATTAGTTCTATCTTTTTATATTTACCCTATAAATGCTCTACAATAAATATAAATTCATTCATTAATAGGGATATTTTTTAAAAAAAGGCAATGATTATGTCTCAAAAAATTAAAAATATATCATATTTTTTAATATTCAACTTTTCAAAAAATGTTTTATATTTTTAAACGGAGAGGGTATATGTTATATTATTAAAAATAATATATGACTATTCATATCAAATAATATACTCCATTTGTTTAAAAATATAACTATTTTTAACTAAATTTCACCCCTAATAAAGTTATTTATTTTCAAACTAACATTATTTTTCAATATATATCATTATTTAATAAGATGTTTCACTTTAAAATAATTATAAAGTAAT